ATCCGAACGAAGAGGGGCACAATCATGAATGCAAGCTCTACAGGAGATTGGATCGTCAGGTTGGCATTCGAAGTGGGAAAGGTGATAGTAGGGAAGGTTGAAGCAATCAGATGAAATGAAAAAAAAAAGAGATTTAATGCCAAAGCGAGAGTCAAGAAAAGTGGAAAGGCGAGGCTCGACAACCATTCCGATCTTGCTAGACCACCAGGCCAGAGTACTGACCCTACCAGCCTAAGCTTCAAACGACCTGAGCCATACATTAGATTAGGATCATGTCTGTGAGGGGATTGAAAGCTTGAGAGCAACAAGGGGGTTGGCAACGAAACGAAAGGCTACATATGTGGCCAGCGACTGGCATTACCATACTCTTCACTGTCATCCTCGCCTGTGCACAGGGGATCGTTCCCTTCCTTTGGTCCCACTCGGTTTCTAGCAAGGTAGGATGAAGAGAAAAGGAGAGGCTCCCGCGATGGAGTGGAGTAGACCTCCGTCCAGGTTCCCAATCGGCTCCACTAGAGCTTTACCTTTAAAGCCAAAAGTTGGGTTCAAGTGTGATCCACGGAGAGCATCTGTTTGCTATTGTGACCTTGTGGAGGTGAGAGAGGGGTCACGAGGCGTGAGTGGTATCATGGCGTTAAAAAGGAAAAGGAGCAAGCCCATTACTGTCGATGAAAAGAGTGGAGGAGGACTGATGAACGACCGAGGGGAGTTGGTTGGGGGGGAACGCGGAAGCGCACCGCTGCTACTGGGTTGCGCACGGTCCAGTCACATGTCCAAGGGATCCCCTTTTCCCCTTCCCCGCACCAGATCCATTCGCCGAAATTGGATTCTAAGAAGGAGCGAGAGATATATCATGTTCTTACAAGGCAAGGCATGAGATAACTTTGAAGGGACTGACCCTATGGATGATAATCATGATACCGAAATCCTTTGGTAATGAAGCCCTGCAGTAGCTTGGTGTCCACCAAGCCGTAAAAGGTTTCCCAATAATCACAATCACCATGATTAAGGTCACAGTGGGATTCGCGAGTGTGAACCAGGGGACCCCATCCAAGTTGAGGTCGCTGTACCGCACCAGTCACGACTTGGATCCCAATCGAGTACACCTCGCTTGTTTTGCACTTACCTTCCTTCCCTTTCTACCCGTCACACTCAAGGCTTCTTCCCACCCTGCTCTCCCTCTCCCAACCAGGAGGGCTGTTGGCAACTCACTAGGACTGTCTTCCTTTTCTTTTTCTTTCCCCCCTCCCTCTCTCATCACCATCCACGGTGACCTTCTCTCTCTCTCGGGTCAACGTCCCCTCCATCTCCTGATTCGGTTTCGCTACCCCGAGAGCCAAGTGAAAAAAAAAGAAAGGGAGTTGGGAGGGGTGGCCCGAATGGAATCACGATGAGCTTGAGAACCCAACTCCTCTGATCCTCCCCTTGGTGTCCCTCCCCAAGAATAGGATGAGAGCCGTAGCTGCAGTGGGGAAGCAAGTACGTAGTGGCGAACCCTTCCGGGCTGAGGAGAACGGACGGAAGCCTGGACCTTGATCAGCATTCATGTGTCTATGACCAACCCCTTGCCTTGTTGAGCCGTCCTTCTTGAGAATCTGCCCTCGACGAAAGCACCTTCTCCTGCCCTGGAGATGCGCGAGCCTTTGCAAAGTGTTCTTCGACATGACATCCCAGCTTCCCCCCAACGATGAGGGAAGGGGTTGAGGAGTAAAAGCCAAATGGGACTTGTCACCAGCCAGGAGGCAGGAGGAACTAGGGAGTGGAAAATCGTCGCATCGTGTCTCAAGCCACTGCGTGATGGGTGTTTCAAGAGTCGACTCGTTCAGGGCCACGGGAGGGTGTTCACCGCCACCCCACTCACCTCGAAGCGTTCGAAAGGGGTGGAAGGAGGGATCCGAGTGCGGTTGGACTGGAGCGACTCAGAGCAACAAGCAGACCGGATTTTAGTCTGCCACTCTTTACTTGACCACCGATCTCGTCTAGGATGCGCGATTAGAGTCAAAGGGGAAAGGAGGAGAGAAAAAGAAAGAGAAAGCAAAGCCGGGCGGAGGCGCACTGGAACGCTGATATTACACCCAGTAAAACTTGTGACCACCCTCTACCAGTGCCCCACTCGCAGGACTCTGTGACTGGTTTTGCCCCTCCCCCCCCCTCCCCACCTCTGTCTCGCTTGGCCGACCATTTGTGGCCCGCTCGCCACCCGCCGCCCGGTTGTCGACTGTGATTGGAGAAACCAAGCTCACCCACGCTCTGCGCACCGGGGAATCAGGAGAAAAAGCCCTCTTCCACCTCCCCCTTTCTCCCAACCTTGGCTGGAAAAGGAATAAATTAGAGCCACCCTCTCCACGAAATTTCCCCTGTTCTCCCCCTTTCCTCACCTCCTCCCCTCGCTGAACAACCTTTGTCTTGGACCGATCGACAGCCGCACAACTTACAAGCTAAGCATACTCGAACCAGTCGAACAACGGCAACTGAAGTAACCCCTTCCTACTATACCTTTTCGTCCTTGTAAGTTTTTCTCAACCCCTCCACCTTCATCGTATCCTTTCTTCTCTTCTCATGAATCCTTCCTTTCCTCGCCGACGACGGAGGCGATGGAGGCTCTCTCTTTCGTGCCAGCGGCGAGAATGCCACTGCATGCCTCCTGCGCGCGCTCTTCTCCCCTCCCTCTTTGAACACGGGCCCAGATCGTCTAGCAGGCATGCAGCCGAGCTCGCACCCCATCCACTGACGCCCTCCTGACAATCTTACCGCCCCTGCCCTTCCCTCCCCAGGGATACCTTGAATCGCCCGTTTCGCAGTCACACCACAATCGAAGAAGAAACACAAAATGCCTACCCTTAACCTAACCTTCCCCAACGGCGGAAAGTCGACCGTCAACACCGACCTCTTCATCAACAACAAGTGGGTCCCGGCCCTCGATGGAAAGACGTTTGCCACCATCAACCCAACTACGGGCAAGGAGATTGGCCAGGTGGCCGAGGCCTCTGCCAAGGACATCGATGTTGCCGTCAAGGCCGCCCGAGCTGCGTACGAGACTTCCTGGGGAGAGAAGGGTAAGTTTCCTCCAATCTTCCAATCCCCTTTTCCTTCCTCCCACACTCTCCGTCCTTGGAACAGGATCGTACCCTGTCTTGGCCCGCCAGCGGTCATTGCATCTCCCCTTTCGGTTCCTGTTCTAGAGATGGAGGGGGAGGTCCGGTCGGCTTTGCCGTCTTCGTTCACTGGCCCGTGCGCCAGAGAGGAAGATGGTCTGAGCACGGGCCTCCTAGCTCTCCCCCTCCCCAGCCCCCCCATCCCTTGTCGCGTCCCGCACCCTCTTTTAACACCTCACGACCGTTTCATCCTTCACATCCACCGCAGTGCCCGGGTTCGAGCGAGGAAAGCTCCTCTTGAAGCTCGCCGAGATCGTCGAGGCCAACCTGGAAGAGCTGGCCAACATTGAATCCCTCGACAACGGAAAGGCTGTTGCCATCGCCAAGGCGTTCGATGCCTCTGAGGTTGCCGCCTGCCTCCGATACTACGCCGGTTGGGCTGACAAGAACCAGGGAAAGACGATCGAAGTGAATGACACCAAGTTCACCTACACGCGCCACGAGCCAATCGGCGTCTGCGGTCAGATCATCCCATGGAACTTCCCACTGCTCATGTTTGCCTGGAAGATCGCCCCAGCGCTGGCGACGGGTAACGTCGTCGTTCTCAAGACTGCCGAGCAGACCCCACTCTCGGCATACAAGATGTGCGAGTTCATCGCCCAGGCCGGCATCCCACCTGGCGTTGTCAACGTCGTCTCCGGCTTCGGACCGGTGGCCGGCGCTGCCATCGCCAAGCACATGGACATTGACAAGGTCGCCTTCACCGGCTCCACCTTGGTCGGAAGGAACATCATGAAGAACGCCGCCGAGACCAACCTCAAGAAGGTGACGCTCGAGCTCGGAGGAAAGTCCCCCAACATCATCTTCAAGGACGCCGACCTGGAGGTGGCCGCCAAGTGGGCCGCCTTCGGCATCATGTTCAACATGGGCCAGTGCTGCTGCGCCGGATCCCGAGTCTACGTCGAGGAGGAGATCTACGACCAGTTCATGGAGGTGCTCGAGAAGGTGTGCAAGTCTCTGCCCAAGGGTGACCCCTTCCAAGCAAGCACCTTCCTCGGACCCCAGATCTCTCAGCTCCAGCAGGACAGGATCATGGCCTACATCGACTCCGGGAAGAAGGACGGCGCCAAGGTCAGGATCGGAGGCAGCAAGGGATCGGGCGACGGATACTTTGTCGAGCCGACCATCTTCACCGACGTCAACCCCGACTCCAAGATCGCCAGGGAGGAGATCTTTGGTCCTGTCGTCGTCTGCTCCAAGTTCAAGGACGAGGCCGACCTGCTCCGAATCGCCAACGACTCCATGTACGGCCTCGCCGCCGCCGTCTTCTCCAGAGACGTCTCGAGGGCCATCGGCACGGCCCACAAGCTCAACGCCGGAACCGTCTGGGTCAACTGCTACAACCAGCTCAACTCGCAGGTCCCCTTCGGAGGGTACAAGGCCTCGGGCATCGGCCGAGAGCTCGGAGAGTACGCGCTCACCAACTACACCAACGTCAAGGCCGTCCACGTCAACCTCACCATCCCTTGCCCACTGTGAAGAAAGGAAGAATAAAAAAAAACCTAAGAAAACAAATACGAAAGGTTCAAGTTCCCTCCCTCCCCTTGGCCCCCTTGACCCTCTGTTAGCCCTCGAATGTACCTCTCGCACATCTCATCGCTCCTCTTACCCCCGCGAACATACCAATCCACGTACATGCCCCACCTCCCTCCTCTCTTGTGGTACCGTTGACTCCACGGATCTAACGATGCGAACTCCGGAACGACTCTTTGTTTCCATCCATCACGGTTGAATCGTCACGAAAAAAAAAAAAAAAAAAAAAGAATTTGAAGATCATGCACGCAGGTGTGGGAGTCGGAATCATCGTCTGGAAGGAAAGGAAAAGGGAGGGGGGGGAAAAAGAAACTTCCGGTCCGGGAATTGAACCCGGGTCTGCGCCGAGCGTCAGGTCAAGTCGATCTTGACAAGGCGCCGTCATAGCCACTAAACTAACCAGAATTCGATGTCTTCAGCATCGAGCAATGAAGGTTTGAAGCTCGACTCCCGATCCATTGCGAGATTATGAAGGTTCCGAAACCCAAGCACAGGGCACCGTACAACCAAAGGGCACCGGAAACAGGGTGGACAGAACAAGTTCTCGGACGCGATCTGCAACGGTGCTTTGTTTTCACTTCATTTTTTACATGATGCTTCAACCCCCTCCGCCCTATCCCCTCCTCCTTCTCGTTGAACATCTCCCAACGTTTGCCTGCTCAGCTCTGATGAGCGGCATTGTAAGCTTGGACCACACTTGAAGGATTTTTTAAAGAGAGGAAAAGAAGAACCCATGGCAAGCGACAAAGGAAAAGAGAAATGGAAAGGAAGAGAGATCAGATTTGATTCCGATTACGATCGATCTTGAAAGGTTCAGAGTTTGCGGGGAACCTAACTCACCGAGACACTTGCTTGAAGAGCCAGTTTCTGGTGCTGATGTCATGCAGTGAGAGGAAAGGTCCAGCGACACCTCCTCGAAGGATAAGGGCGATCCCCTGACTTTCCAGGCTGTGAACGGGGAGTACGTTGTGTGTGTGCGGGTATGTTAACCATAAAGCTTTCAGCCAAAGTTGCCTCACCAGGTCATGATTTCGGACAGAGCCTAACGCTGCAGGCCACTCACGAAATGCTGCTCAAGTCTTCGAGAGGGACCTCCCAAATGATGCTAAGCTTCAGAGTCCGGATCAGGACTGAGCAATGGGAGGAGGACAGCAAGAAGACGACGTGGAAATGAAAAGGCGTTATGGAGGAAGGTCAATCAGGGTCAGACCCGTGAAGGAAAGGGAGACGAGGCTGGGTGAAGAAGGATGGAATCGAGCAGGGAGGGAGACGAAAACAATCGTACTCACGAATTCTTGCGACGGTCAACATCACAACACTGTCACCGGCAGGGCTTCCGACGTCTACATGCGCGACGTAGTGTTCCTTCATCAACCTGCCGTTGTCGACGTTTTTCAGCCAGGTCTGACCAAGGGCCTCTCGATCTGAGTATGGACGGACGATACCGTCGCTGGCGATGAATCTCGGCAGTCTAACACGGTCGATGTCGCTTTGGTCGAAGACCACTGTGGTGTTCCTCATGCCCTCGCTCACGTTTGAGGCGAGATCAAAGACGCCAACGGCAGGTTTGGTGATAGCACCCACCAGGCCCTTGCCCACGCCTTTCAAAAACCCGCCAGCACCACCTTGCTCGGCGCCTTCCAATGGTCTCAACGCAAGACCTTCAAAGCCGCTGGCGACACTGGTGAAGAACGAGTTAGCACCGGCAGTGATGCCGTATAGGGCGTGTTTTGGTTTGTTCCTGAACCTCGACATCCTCCTCCGGCTCTGGAACTCCTTGTCCATCGTGGCTGCAGCCAAACCTTTCCCAATGGAACCTGTGAATTTCGAGACACTATCCGAGAGGCCAAAGACCGTCTTTTTGACAAAGCTGCTTGCTCCCCTTGCAATGCCCAGACCAAGCTCCTTGTTTCCATGCATGACCAAGCCTTGATAAGGCTCGTAGAAGATGTCTGCGACGCCAGAGCTGACGTTGTTGAAGAGACCGACCGGGTTTCCCAGAAAATCAGCCGAGCCAAGAACTCGGTAGAGTTGAAGAATGAAGCCCTGGCCGTAGTGATATACGATACGCTGCTGCAGGATGGCCGGGGAGAGTCGGACGTTCTCGATGACGAGCGCATTCAAGCGGACGGGCGCGTCGTTAACATTACCGAGAGCCATCGTCAACGCGTTGAAGAAGAAGATCAGTGGGTTTCGCGAGCTGACCCTCTCATCCGCATTGACCCTCTCCGTTCTCATGAAAGACAAGTTCAGAGCGAGCGGCTGAAGGTGGAGGATTTCGAAATAGATGTCGTCCTGGTTCCCTTGCGCACCCTTTGGTTCAGGAACCTCCCTCGGATGCTCGATGAAGTCGGTCTCGTGAGCCGCTCCCTGCTCCCAAGACGCCCCTTCGAGCTTGGAGAACTCATAAAGAGCAAAGAGGAAATCTTCATCCAATTCAGCAGTGATCTCCTGCAAAAGGATGGAAGCGTACTTGATGTGCGTGACACCATGGGTCTGGTCTTTAAGCCGAATCACTGAGGCCTGCAGAGTTGGATGAACTTCGAGGTCTTTGCCATCCTTGGGAATGACCGTTGGATACAAGACGATCGGGAACAGGCCGCCGAAGAGCTGATTGTCGATCTGGATCCATTTGCAAATCAGATTGACGGCTGTCGTTACCTCTGACTCCGTGTAGTGCATCTCCAGACCTCTGAACGAGATGTAGGCCAGCTCCTGGACATTCCTGTTGATGAGAGAGATACCAACGCCTTCGAATTCAATGTTGAAGGAGAAGAGGATACTCGTGTCGATGTCCACCGCCTCAAAGCCGACATCCCTGGTTCCCACGCTGGCCATCGAGTCGGTCCGAGAGAAGGTCGAGTTCTGCCTCTTCAGTTTGTAGTTGCTCAGGGACTCAGAATAGTTGGAGAGGACCAAAGTCTGGGTTGGCCCGTCAGCCCGGACATCCAGGGAAATGACTCGGTTCCCACGCCCGTCGGGACCAGGGAACTTGAAGGGCAAGAGGCTGCCAATCTCTAGGATGTTGACGTTCCTTTCCCTACCGTTCGCTACCAACTTGATTTGCTTGTCCGTGGCCGCCGGGTAGTCCCAAGCATATTTCATCTTCGATCTTGGCTTCAGCTCGTACCGCTTCCCAACCTGCTCGTCCGCAGTGGCCTTGGATTTCTGGGATCCTGACGAAGCGCTGCCATCCAGGGTTTCAGCCGTCTGCATGAAGCTGATCGTGTAATCGCTCTCATTGCGGAGCATGAAAGGCCAAGGTCCCTTTTCGTAGTTGAGAGAGATGAATATGGTGGGGCCTTCGAGGAGGACTTCTGCCTTGACCAAATGCTGATGCTGCCCTGCCTTGGCCATGCGAAGGTGGACACTGCCAATGTCCTCAATGTTGAAAGGCGCGCTCCATTTGTTGTTGAGGCCAGGGTAAGAGAGCGTCATCTGCTTGGTGGCACCGACCCTGAGGAAGTGCAAAGGCAACCGTCTGCCGGGCTCGACCGTGATAAAGTCGGCAGCGCCTGCTTCCCGAAGGTTGATTGGCTCGCTGAGGTTGTTCCTCACCAGGTAGCGAGGTGCCAATTTGACAACTTTGGAAAGCTTGAACTTGCCCAGACCGTCCTCTACCGTCAGACCAACGTGGATCTCCTCGTTCCTGGAAGCTGAAGGGATAACGACGGCGGTCTCTGAGCCGATGGCCTCGAAAGACAGTGGCCGGGACCAGCCCGAGTCCCCAACCCTTAGCAAGACCCTGTTTCTCCGGTCGTTGCTGCTGTAAGAGAAGAGGAAGGGGTCTGGTTCCTTCCTCATGGCAGCTGATTGTCCTTGGTCTTGTCCTGCCACCAACTTTGTAGCACCCATCCAAGATTTCGTCTTAAGGGCGAAGGGTAATCCAGATTGGTTGACGAAGATGTAGGGCGAGTAGATCTGAACTTTGAAGGCTCCTCCTGATTCCGGGTATTTGAAGTAATGGAGCCGAAGATTGAGCTTCAGATTCTCGGCATCGGCCAGGACAAGGGTTTTCTCAACTGGGAAGTCGTCGGGGTTGTCGGTGGCGATGATGCCAAATTCGCTAGGTGAGAAGCACGAGGACTGCAAATCGACGCTCAGGAGCAACAGATGGGAGAGCTCGACCACATGGATCGGAGAGATGCCACCTTTCCGTAGATAGCTAGACCAATTGTGGTTGAGGTTCTTGTCAAAGATTCTGTACTGGATATCGTAAGGAAGAAGGTTCTCGACCTCGACGGGTGCTCTCAATCGTAGGGTCAGCCTTGGGTAAGTGCGGCTCAGAGGATCCTGCTTGTCGTGGATCGAGAAAGTCTGGAATTTGAAAGGAGCCTCGTTCTCTTCGAGCGCTTTGCATGTGAGCACCCTGGTTGATTTCTTGGTGAGATCATGCCAGTTGAGGCACTCTACACTCCAGTCGTATTCAAACCCTGGGTCGGGCCTGAGCCTGATCCTGCTGTGATAAGCAGCTTCGATGGGAACGGGGCAGTCTTCGCCCGGAGCAATTTTGCGAATGTTGTTGGTGAGCTGCCCCTCGGCGTCGAGTATGACCATCTCAACTGGGACCAAAGTTCGGTTCTCGACTTTGAAGGAGGAACGGAAAGTAATGATCTTGACATTGTTTTGCAATCTGACGTCGCAGAGAACGCGATGCGCCACTTTATCAAGCTTTGGACGAAGATTGAGGATCGATTCGCCTTCCCTGTCTACGGAAATGCGTCTCACCCTCTCCCACGGCATACCATCGAATTGGAGCGACAACATGTTGCCACCAGAGTCCATCGCATTCTCCCTCATCGACTTCCAGTCGTCAAAGCGCCACGGTAGATCTTTGCCATCTTCAAGGTGCTGTGGCGCCGTCTTGACCCGCCGGTCTTCATGCTCGGCCCACAAGCAAATCTTATAGCCCGTGCGGTTACGGATCTCAAATGGAGCCTTATCCCTCGATTGAAGTTCTTGTTCCGAAGCGGACCCCCAAATGGCCATGGTATTCATGGCTGACTCGATCAGCGTTGTTGTAACCTGCGAGGCGAAGTTGTAACGAGGTTTTCAGTACAGGTCATGATCTGAAGCGTTGCAATTGTACCGTACGTGCAACGTGAAACTTTCCTCCATCCTTCCCTCCATTCTCCCATCCTCCACAGGCGGCGCAAGCGGTAGACTGTGCACTCACATTAAGCTCCAATCTCTTTTTGCTGGAGATGGTAACGTCCATGCTTTCTGGCGCAAGGCTCCTCTCCAAGCTGAAATCGACAACCCAGGGGTCGATCAGAGGTTCCCAGTGGGACCTGGACAGGTTGTAGTAATTGATGTACATGCCGAGCGACGTCTCGGCTCTCATGTCACCAGACCAGTCACGGACATCCAGACTGAACTTCTGAATATTCATGTCGAAAATGGGC